ATAAACTGATAAAAAATAAAATTTACTTTTAGTTTCGCTTTTAGCCTAACTTTTGACTAAAACCGCTTACATTAGAAACATTTTTGACCTAATTTTAGCCTGGAGAGTATGATCCTAAGTCCTAATGTTATGACTTAACCCATGGCTTTAAATTTAAAAATAGGCTACTTTTCAATCATTTTGGTAAAAAAAAAATCTTACTTTGAACCCACTTTTGACTAAAAACGTTTAAATTAGAAGCATTTACAACTTATGACCCTAGGTCCTAAAGTTGTTTTTAAAAATTTTTTAATTTTAAAATAGGCTAATTTTTAATTATTTTGGTTTTAAGATGTAAGCGGTTAAAAACTTTCTTGTCTGTATGGTACGTAATTTACAGTATAATGTATTAGTATAATATATAATATAATATGATATAATATATAGTATAATATAATATATAGAATAGTATAATAAAATATATAGAATAGTATAATAAAATAAAATTTAACACACAATATGAAATAAAATTTGGAATAAAGAACATACAGAATCCATTATTTACTTTATTGGAAAACCTATATATAAGGAAATAGAAGTGCCCTGTTGGGAGCGCATGACTAAGAGGAATATTCGAACTATCACGATTCAGAGGCTATTAATAAAGAAACTATATATAAAAATATAAAATAGTTCAATTAGGTTGTATAATTCGATTTGAGTTAATTAATTTTTTTCCAACAACTTACAATCCTATATGTATAAGAAAACGAGTCATGTATAGCAATTTAAGTTATTACACACTAAACCCTAATTACTGTGCTCCTTTCAAGACAAATTGATGTCTGATTATCTCTAATACCTACTACAATATAATTATTACTCTGCCGCTGGTAGTTCAACTTTTTTTCAACCTAGGCAAAGACCTTCGAGTTTTCTACTACTACTGCAATACCTCTACTGGTATATACAAATATTGTGATAGATCTGTTATTTTAGGCTATTACTTGTATTATACTAATACTTTTGCTACTTTGAATACAATTATACTATATTCACTAGTACTGCTACTACTACTACTAATTCTTTGGTACTAGCACTACTATTACTACTAGTACTGAATTTTTAGTACAAGTATACTACTACTTTTACTATTTCTATCGCTACTACCAATTCAATGCTACTACAACTACCATTATACTAATAATACTTCGGTACTATTATTATTACTGCGGTACTGTTACACATATACTACTACTAATACTACTACTATTATTATACTATCAGTATACTACTATTATACTACTAATTTTGCTGTACTACTATTATTATAGTGTTTCTACTATTATACTACTATTGCTGTGGTACTACTATTATTATGCTATCACTACTATTATACTACTATTGCTGTGGTATTACTATTATTATGCTATCACTATTATACTACTAAAGCTGTGGTACTACTATTATGATACTATCACTATAATTATACAACTAACGCGGCGGCACTATTACTATTTGATACTATCTCTACTGTTATATACTACTAATGCTACGATACTACTATTATTATTACTATTACTACTATTATACTACTACTTTTATACTATCAATACGGTGATACAACTATTATTATTATTAGCAAAATTCGATCATGGTAATTTCAATCAGGGTTGAACCCACTTTAAAGAACTTATAAATAGAGTTCAATAGGTGGTCCAACCTTGTCTATGTTCCTCCATTAATTTTTCTTATTTCGAATAAATTGTCTTTTCTTGTTTTCAAAAATAACCTTTTAACTTACCTCTTATTAGAAAAAAATGCTTTCGAATTAAATTTACTAAAAGTCGTAATTTTTCCAAAAAAGTTAAAGTTCAAAAGGTGGTCTAACCTTGACTTTAAGTTTTGTCATATTGTCTTTTCTTGTTTTCAAAGAAACTATTTTAACTTACCTGTTAATAGAAAGAAATTATTTCTAAATAATTTGACTAGAAGTCTTTATTTTTTGAAAAATAAAGTTAAAGTTCAAAAGGTGGTCCAACCTTGACTTTAATTTTCGTCACTTTGAAGATATTGTCTTTTCTTGTTTTCAAAAAATAACATTTTAACTTACCTGTTATTAGAAAGAAATGCTTTCGAACTAATTTGACTAGAAGACGTTATTTTCTGAAAAAAAATTATAAGCAGAGTTATATTACTAATGCTGCAGTTCTACTATTAGTACTATTATACTGCTATTATATTTAAATTATTATTTTACTAAGAGTACTAGTATTAAGTAGTATTATTTGCTGAGAGGGTGGGGTGATAATGGTAAAAAACTACTACTACTACTACTACTACTTTAACTACTAGTGTAGTAGTATTAATTGCGAAGCAGGTGGAGTAAAAAATAGTGTGACATAATCTATATGAATGCCCCCTAATACTATTGTTGCTACCACTGCACAAAACTCTAATTGGGTCTCAAGGTGTAATTTTTTGCGCCACATTTCTGATCCCATTCCTTTCAAACATCTTCTAAAGAATACCAAAAATCGACGCTATTTTCAAATATTTATAATGATTCTACAAGAAGCTTTAATGGTTCCTTAAACACTATTTATATACCTTTATAAATTTTTTTGAATACAACTCGAACACACACAGAGAGAAAGAGAAAGAGGAAAAGAGTGAGAGTGAGAGAGTGAGTGAGTGAGAAGAGAGAGCCCTCATAGAAAAATTCCACTAAAATCTCAAATTTCGACCTCATCGTTAAGCAAATAGTGAATTCCTCACGGTTTTATTCTTTCGAGAGTTCAGTTCCTCGCCTCATTGTGCCTTCCCTTCTTCCGATTTATGTCTCATTGTCTGATCAGGAACCGACAAAGACTGACGCATCAAAAAAAAAAAGAATAAGAAAAAGAAAAGAAAGAAAAGGAAAAAAATAGTTGCAAGGAAAAAGCGAGACAAAAGGCTTAAGGAAAGCAATCAGTTTAAAGAGGGAAAGAGAGCGAGAGAGATTTAAAAGCTGAATGAAAGTGAAAAAGAAGAGGAGGGGGGAGTGAAGTGGGAAAAAAAGAGAATGAGAGAGAGATGGGGGGGGGGAGAAAAGGCGAATAGAGCACTTGTGAGCAATTTAAAGAAACACAGATCGAGTTTACAGTCGACAAAATGGAAAAAAAGGGAAAATGAGAAAAAAGGGAGTAAAAGAGAGAAAAGGGAGTAAAAAAGAGAGAGTGAAAGAAAGATAGAGAGTAAAAGAGAGAAAGAGAGAAAAAGTTTTAAAAAAAGAAAGAGAGTAAAAAATAGAAAGAGACAAAGAGAGTGAAAGAGAGAAAGAGGGTAAAAGAAAAAGAGAGTGAAAGAGACAAAGAAAGAGAGTAAAAGAGAGATGGATTTTAGGAAGGAAACTTGCCGTTTTCTGAGAATTGTTTTGCGGCAACTGAGATGTACCTGAAACGGGACCGCTCCTCTACAAATTGCGAGAGAGGGCAGGAGCTTAACTTTATAACGAACCAACCGGGGTCCTTTTGAGGGTCGCGCGTGTAATGAAGGTATAGTTGTCGAGTTAAAAGGATGCTTGATAAGTTGCCTCCGCATGGACCACGAGGACTCGCAGAAATCAGAGGAATTGTTAAAAAAGAAAACCATTCAAAAAAGCGTCTATAATATTTCCCAGAATTTCAAAAAAAACAAGTATAGTAGGTATATAGTTAAATATTTTAAAAACTTTCCACAAATTTTCCACAAAAGACAAAATAATTAAATATTATTCTTAACAACAATTATTAATTTTATATATAAATTTTATACCCATGAGTGTGATTTTATAATTTGACTTTGACTCTCGATTTGATTTCGACTCCAATTTTGACTTTGACTCTGATTTTTATTTTGACTCTAACTTTTATTTTGACTCTGACTTCGATATTAATTTGGACTTTGATTTTGACTCTGACTTCGAATTCGATTTTTACTTCGACTTTGATTATGATTCTAATTTTGACTTCGACTTTGATTTTGACTCCGATTTTAACTTTGACTCAGACTTTGATTGTGACTCTGATTTTGACTTTTATTTTCACTTTGACTTTAACTTTGACATTGACGTCGATTTTCACTCTCAAAGTCAATATTAAAGTCAAAGTTAAAATCGGAGTCAAAGTCAAAGTCACAATCAAAGTCGGAGTCAAAGTCAAAATCAGAGTCACAATCATAGTCAGAGTCAAAGTCAAAATCAGAGTCAAAATCGAAGTCAAAGTCAAAATCAGAGTCATAATCAAAGTCGGAGACAAAATTAAAGTCATAATCAAAGTCAGAGTCAAAATCGAAGTCAAAGTCAAAATTAGAGTCATAATCAAAGTCGGAGACAAAATTAAAGTCATAATCAAAGTCATAGTCAAAATCGAATTCAGAGTCAAAATCAAAATGAAAAGAAAAGTTTAAATTCAAAATCGCTCCCCAGTGTGATTATATATAGTTTGGATAAATAATTAAAAATTTGTAACCAAGAACAAGACTAAAATATTATAAAATACTTTCTCCATACGATGAGAATGTAAAAATAAAAAAATCGCGTCGAAAGAGAAAATTCTAGAAGAAAAAACTAATTAGAAATTATACAATATTTCTAATCGCAAATTACTGAATAGAAATTGTCGATAATAACTTGTTTCCAATCAAGAATCGATAACATATACTCGCAATTAGGAATTAGTGGCGAATATATAATTTTAGTTCATATACATCAAACTTTTATAATGACTAATTTCCGTTATATGCCGTCTCGATCAATTTTTTTTTTCCATTTTCATCAAAGGAAAAAAAGAGTTCTCATAAAATTAAAAACTGCATTCACTATATATGCAAAAATAAAGTAAATTTTGTCTTTCAAAGTTTTGATTTAAAAAAAAAATTTTTTTTTTAAAATCCAAAAAATTTTAGAATTTAAAAAAATTTAAATTTTAATAAATAATAAAAAAAAATTTAAAAAGTAAAGAAATTAAATCTTTAGTAATAGATGCGGAAAAAAAACTCACTTGTCTTAAGTCGAGAATAATAGTGACGAATTCAAAGCGCTCGCCCCTATGAAGTGAAGGACTCTGCCACCATCTTGCAGGATTTGAATCCAAAACATGGCTAATATTGTGCCTTTTTCCTGGATCGGGACTTCGGGAATCACAGACAGCGCACCTGAGAAATTCCGATGGTTTGCAAAATGTCTCAGGTGCATCCTCGCCACAGGTTGCATTCACGTAAATATCCGCTTTCGCCGCCACATTGAAGGTCGACGGAAACAGTCCTCCATTCTTTAGACTCATGCTCACTCCAAATTGTCCTGGAAAAATTAAGAGAAAATTCAAAAATTATTTTTTTTTTATATTTTCTTTTCAAAAATAAAAATTTTTTTCAAGTGTCTAAAAAGTGCACATCTAGTAAATATAAAGTGTCTGTAAAGTGTTCCCTACTAATTAAAGTGTCTCTACTAACTAAAGTGTCTCTACTAACTAAAGTGTAACCTACTAATTAAAGTGTCCCTACTAACTAAAGTGTCCCTACTGACTAAAGTGTATCCTACTAGCTACAATATGTTCCCTACTAGTTCAAATATCACTAAAGTGACTAATAGTTGAATATTCCCTACTAGTTCAAGTCTTAATAAAGTGTTGATTTTTGATCAAGTACCGATAGAGTGTTTTACTAGTTCATGTTTTCCCTACTAGCTAAAGTGTCTATAAAGTGTAACCTACTACTTCAAGTGACCCCTAATATTCCAAATGCCAGTAAAGTGTATCCTATTAGTTTCAGTGTTAAAAATAAAAACTCCCCTACTAATTAAAGTGCAAATAAGCGACCCTACTAGTCCAAGTACGACAAATGCATTCCCTACTTGTTTAAGTGCCTAAAGTAATAATAAAGTGTAACCCTACTAATTTAAGTGTATCCTACTAGATCAAGTGGCAATAAAGTATAACCTACTTGATCAAGTGTTCCTACTAAAAAAGTATTAATAAAAGTATATCCTACTAATTCAAGTGAGAAAGTGTTCCCTACTAGCTAAAGTGACACTTTAGCTATTGACATAAAGTGTACCCAACTAGTGAAAGTGTCGGACTTTACTAATTAAAGTAAAAAAGTTCACTAATTAAAGTGCATCAACTAAAAAGTAAAAAAAAATCCATAAATCTCAGTGTGAAATGTTTGTTGATCGATTGTCAAAATATTTGTTGATTGCAAGGGGTCAATTGCGAGATCATTTTTTTTTTTTTTTTTTTCTTTTTTTTTTAAAGAGAGTTACATTCTCGTTATTTTTAAGACCGCGCAAAGGATTTATTGGTGGATTTTTTTCTTTGACAGAGCGTCGACGCCAAGGTGCAGTCATATATGTCACGATGTAACAGGTCTCTGCAAAAGAATTGCAACCGGTCGGATTTTACCGAAAGCTGCGCGAGAACAGGTTCACTGCTCTCTCCCACCATCACAAAATTATTCGAAATTGGTGTTTTTTTTTATTTTTTTTTTTTCATCAACTTTCGGCAACTCTTTGAAATCAAGTGAAAGTGACTTACCGACCATTATCATGAACGAAAAATGTATATAGAGAGAGAGAGAGATATATACAAAGACCCCAACTGGGAGAGTGGACAAAAATTAATTATCGCACCATTGATAGCGCCTATAATTGATATCACCTTTGAAATTTTTTATTTAGAAAATCAACTTCTAGTATATCAACAATCATTTAAGTATGTACTAATAGTATCTAATAGTATTATTCTAACTTTAAGACCATTCTAATTTTAACGCCATTCTAACTTAAAAAACTTTATTTCATTCTAAGTTAAGAAACTTAAGGTCATTTCAACTTAAAAACGTTTATCTTATTTTAACCTAAAAAAATTAAGGCCATTCTAACTTAGAAAACTTTATTTCATTCTAACCTAAGAAACTTAAGGCCATTCTAACTTAAAAAACTTTACTTCATTCTAACCTAAGATACTTAAGGCCATTCTAACTTAAAAAACTTTATTTTATTCTAACCTAAGAAACTTAAGGCCATTCTAACTTAACAAACTTTATTTAATCCAACCCAAGAAAATTAAGACCATTTTAGCTTTAAGACCATTCTAATTTTAAGGCCATCCTAACTTAAAAAACTATATTTAATTCTAACCTAAGAAACTTAAGACCATTCTAACTTTAAAGCCATTCTAACTTTAAGACCATTCTAATTTTAAGGTCATTCTAACTTTAAGACCATTTTAGTTTTAAGGCCATTCTAACTTGAAAAAACTTTATTTCATTCTAACCTAAGAAACTTAAGGCCATTTTATCTTTAATAAATTTATGCCATTCTTATATCTAAAAATACTTTAAGTCACTCTAACTTAAAAATTTTTTAGCCATTTTAATCTGAAAAAGTTTTAAGGTCATTCTAACTTTAAGGCCATTTCATTTTAAAAAAACATTATGTTATTCTAACCTATAAGAAACTTAAGTTCATTTTAACCCAAACAGTATTGAAATGAACCGCAATTTTTTTAAAAATCAGCAGCCATTCTAGAATCCCCTTATTGACATACTCATCCTTAGAAATTGAAGTATATACAATAAATTTATTAATATTTTTAATTAAATTTTTTAAAATAGTAACATACTTAACTAGGACACAATTTTAAAAAATATTAAAACACTTATTTTCACAAATAATAGACTTTGAAAAAAATTGCCACATTCCAGAAATATTACCCACGTAGAGCATGAGTTGTCAAAAGTTTTTGAAAAAGTCACGTTTCAAAGATGAAGACAACGACGTCTGAACATATAAGGAAGGAAAAAAAATATGTATAAATATGCATTTTACAAGAAGGAAAAGCAAAATGAGAGAAGGAGAAAAAGAAATGAAATGTTTTCGCTGTTGGTCGTCGCGCCTAACGAGAAACGGAGAAATTCAGCCCCATTAGTTTACCTCGGTTAAATCTCTACAAGACTCCCTCGCGGGCTCCTATTTCAGGAGTCCAAAGAGAGTGAGAGAGAGAGGAGTGAAACCCCTGCAAAACAAGTCATACTCCTCTCTTTACCCACACACACACACACAAACACATCTCAGTTAAAACCAACTTGAAACCAGACAAAATGACCTTTAATTAGGAGAAAAACGTCAATCATATTTTCTGAAATAATATTCCCCTTTTTGGCACACGAGTAGAGCACGTCGCCTGGGGAATGAAGATGTTTAAATAGTTTAATCAAAATCTGTGTTATACTTTTTTAGGGGTTTATAATTAGTGGCATGATCTTGAAAAGGTACTTTTTTTAAAACTGAGCGTATGCGGATCGAGAACACGATAAAAAACTAGTAGGTAAAGTGAACCCTAGTAGTTCAAGTGTTCCCTACTAGCTAAAGTGTCAATAAAGTGTACCCTAGTAGTTCAAGTGTATCCTACTAGCTAAAGTGCCAATAAAGTGCACCCTAGTAGTTCCCTACTAGCTATAAAGGGTCCATAAAGTGTACCCCAGTAGTTCAAGTGGATTCTACAAGTTATAAAGTGCCAATAAAGTTCACCCTAGTAGTTCAAGTGCTTCCTACTAGCTAAAGTGCCAATAAAGTGCACCCTAGTAGTTCAAGTGTATCCTACTAGCTAAAGTGACAATAAAGTTCACCCTAGTAGTACAAGTGTTCCCTACTAGCTATAAAGTATCAATAAAGTGTACCCTAGTAGTAGAAGTGTTCCCTACTAGCTATAAAGTGCCAATTAAGTGCACCCTAGTAGTTCAAGTGTATCCTACTAGCTAAAGTGTCAATAAAGTTCACCATAGTAGTACAAGTGGTCCCTACTAGCTATAAAGTGTCAATAAAGTGTACCCTGATAATTCAGGTGTTTTCTACTAACTAAGTGTAAATAAACTATAACCTACTAATTTAAGTGATCACTACTAGCTAAAGTGTCAAGAAAGTGTACCCTAATAGTTCAAGTGCCAATGTTTAACTTCAAGGGTACATTTTATTGACACTTCAACTAGCAGGGTTCCTTATTCGGACTTTAACTAGTAAGAGACACTTTATTATTAAATTTTTAACACTTAAACTAATAGGGTACACTTGATTGGCATTTGGACAAGTAGGGATCACTTTATTAATTTTTTCAACTAGTCAGGTACACTTTATTGACACTTGAACTAGTAGGGTGGACTTAAATTCAATTTACACTTGATTTAGTAGTGTATACTATATTGACAATAAATATAATGTCAATAAAGTGTACCCTATTAGTTTAAGTGTTAAAAAGTAATAATAAAGTATCCGCTATTAGTTTAAGTGTTAAAGGAGTAATGATAGAGTGTACCCTACTACTTAAAGTGCGAATATGTAACCCTACTAGTTAAAGTTACCTTACTAGTTAAAGTGGCAATAAAGTGCACCTTGCAAGTTAAAGTGATATGAAAGTGACTTTACTGGTTCAAGTGTCTGTAAAGTGTATCCTACTAGTTAAAGTGTTCCCTACTAGCTATAGTGTCAACAAACTGTACTTTACATCTTATTTTTTGATTTATTTGTACTTTATTGGTGTCATGTAAAGCAATTTCTTTTGATATAAAAATTTAAGAAAAATTCGACCCGACTACGTGTATATACATATAGATATCGGGTGTAAATGCTCGTAAAAGGCGCGACGCGTCTTAAACATCATTTATATATTCATATGCAAATGACGTATCTGTTTTTTTAAAAACTAAAAACGGTAGGCATTGAATGTACATATGTATATGGTTTTTTTATCAGCGACAAAAAAAATTAAATACCTCACGCGACATTTGTGTTTCGTTTACGTGCATTTATGTGGATTTGTGCACGCGACCACTGGCAAGAATGCAAATTTCCATTCATACTGATAAATATATAAGTTTACTTCGAGATACACATCTTTTTATTTTATACACTGAATCTTGTTCTTATTTTTCTCTTCACGACACTTTTACTTCAAAAATTGTATAATTATACCCTTCGCTATATAAAGAAGCGAACCCTCAAATTTTAATAAATTTCAAATAAGTTAAACTTTTATTAAATTTGAAATAAAATTTATTTTATAAAGTTTAAATCCTTTTAAAATCAAATTTTTAAATTTTTAAATTCTTTAAAATTAAATTTAAAAATTTTTTAATTCTTTTAAAATTGAATTTTGAATTTTAAAAAATAAAAATTTCTTTTACTTTTTTTTTTGTTAACATTTTAAAATTTAAATTCTAATTGAATTTCAAAAAGAAATGAAAATATAATATTGATATAAAAAGAATAATTATTAAATACCGATATAAAAACAATATATTGGAAAT